ACCAGTGATTCTGCATTCTAAAACACACACACACACACACACACACACACACACACACACACACACACACACACACACACACACACACACACACACACACACACACACACACACACACACACGCACACTTTCGGTTTTTCTCATTACTGCCAGATGGTGCCACATCTCTCGCGGTGCCTCTAGAAAGAAGGCTATTGTTCTTTTCTCTGCGTTTTCCCAACGTATATCTCGTGTTTGCCTGTTATTTCCGTGCGATTGTGTGATATTTCCTATCTTCTTGTCTTTACTGTGGTTATCCTTTTGCTTTTGCCATTATCTATTTTCTCTTGCACGGCTTCCTTCCTGCCGCGTTTCTACTGTTTGCGGCTCCAAGCGCAGTGCGTCTAGTGTCGCGCACCGGCCTTTCGCCTCCATCCGTAGTTCTGCGTCTAAGTCAACATGTTATTCGTGCCGCAAAGCCTGGCCTGGAACGTGAAGACGGGAAATGCCGAAAAACAGATGAGTGCCAACTACCCTTTCCTGTCTTCATGTTCCAAGCTTTGCGCCACAAATAACATGTTCGACGAACTCACGCGCCAAATCACCCAGGAAAGAGTTGATCTAGAGTGTGCAAATGTTGACGCTGGCTCATCACTGTCGTTTCGCTGACATCTTGGCTTATGCGTATGAAACCCGCGGGACCTGCGTGACCCCAACGTGAGTCAGGAGACGACAACAGGGTAGTTGGTACTTTCAACTGCTCCACTGTTCAGAAACCATTAGTCATTACATATGTATACTTTGATAATTTGGCAACTGTGTCTACCTGTGTGCTTGAGCATGTGGCGAACAATTGTTCTGTCGCCCATAGCCTGCCCTACTCGGGCGAAAGGCTTTATTAGGTATTTTTCGGAATAGCGTACGCTAAGTTAACGGGCGTGGCGTTACCGTTCCACCACTCAATGCGCACCCGCCAGCCCGTAATATGTGAGCATACGACACATGCGCAACGCAAACGTAAAGCTTCGCGTACGCTATTAGAAAACTCGCTAATGTCTCTGCGCGCCTAATATAGCGCTTGTGGTGTGCGGTTCAGTGTTCCAGTTGTTTTTTTTTTTCGTTAAATTATAACTTTTCATAATATCTCATTCTTCCGTCAGTCCATCTGTCCATGCCCTGGTACGTTGCCAGCTGTGACCTCTCCCCTCACACTTTCTCAAACTAAAGAAAAAAAGAAACTAAAATACATGGCACACTTTGAAATCTACAAAGTTTTCTTCATTTTTTTTTCTTGAATGCCAGCCAGATGCGCCCGATCTGGCCGTTCACCACCCTATCCTCCATAGCACTTTTTTTTACTCTCTCCTGTCAGATAGCTTTTGCTCCCGATTTGAATTTAGAGGGGGGGGGGGATGATTTTTTAAATGATGTCTTGTGACTGAAGTATCACGGATAATTTTTTGTTCAGTTGTGTTCGGATCGATAGGGAATCGTCTTTCATCAATCATGACCACCATACTCCGTTTCATACATCAGGTGCAACTCTGTGGGGGGTTAACGACACTTCTTGCAACGAGTGCGATCACGCTAAAAAATAGTACGATAATTTTTCAATCTGAGAAGCCATGATTTATTTTCTGCTTTGAGCTTAGTAATAAATAAAGATGCTTTGTGCATCGGAGATGAAGATGCCCAATTATAGGGTTAAATCACTTAGTGTCTCCTTCTCGTTTTCTGAAGTTTTAATTATAGGCTTTTGCAACACTGTGCGTGCGCGTTCACGATCCTCCCACACGAGCGTTTACAACTATGAAAACCAAGCGCGAGACGTGTGTAGCAAGGGACATCGCGGACCGAGCTTTTTGCGTAGCTTGCACAGTGTTACACCTGATGTATGAAACGAAGTACATGTAAGTGATTCTTAAAAGAAAGAAAATGAGATAAAAGTGAGCCCCGTAACTGTCCGCATCATTGTGCGACGTACACCTCAACAGTGGCCCACGAGAGATGGGGGTCAGGAGGGATGAAAAGGGATAGGGAACATTAAAGGGAATAGGGATAGAGATGACGACACCCACATAGATAATATAGAGAAAGATGGACACGGTCGCAGAAGTCCGAGGACGGGGCACCACTCGGCGAGAGCTTCACGGCGTCAAGAGATGGCGGAGGGCGAGCCGGTCGGCTAGAACTGCGCTGTCGTCAGAGATCGCGGCGGCCCAACCGGTCGGCACGGAATCCAGCGAGCGAGATGTATATGTTAATTGTCACGCTGGATTTTTTAAAAGATGCAGTGTCTTGAGATGGCGCGTCTCCGTTCGTGATGCTATGCGGACTACCAACGTGGACGCTTCGGCGGTTAAGACGTGTCAAGCGTTACGAGGTGGCGGCGGCATTCGTTCAAGCCACCGAAGGCGGAGGAACATGCCTGAGATACGCGTGGCATTGGATAAAGACATCTCATCTCCATGGTAACGCATTCAGACGCACGTCTGACGCAAACAGTCGTACACTTTGTTACGGCGCACCACTACCACTCGCTAAGCTCGGGTTGGCCTACGGTGCCCTTTGAAACGGCCGAGTTTTTTTATCCAGTGGCCGTGCCATTGAAGAATGAACGTTTGCACCGGCATTGAAAAAAATATATATAAAAAAGGAAGTCCTGTGCCACCTCAAGTTCACTAACATGCAGCTTAAAATTAACTGATGACTCTGCCACTTGTAGGCCAGAGAAGTGCGTCTTTATAAAAGGGGCGTCTGTTAAGTACAGATGTTCGGTGATTTATAGCAAGCAAAACTATACTGTGAGAGGGCATTAGGATATCCCACTCCTGTGTTTAGAAAAAGTGTTCAGTGATTTCGAGTACGAACTATGAGAGAGCGGCAAGCTGTTCCGACAACAGATGAAACAGTACATCAAATGTATCGACGACAGAAACAATAGCGTGTGATGATGCGTTTAGAAAAAGTGCTTAACGATGTAGAGCACTTGGTACTACACTATGGGAGATCTTAAAGCCATCCCGTGAACCTCGCTCTTGATGACGCCACGTTGACAAACATTAAGCCGTGAACGAGTTCACGGTGGTGAAAGACAGTTGCGTGTATGCCACCTTTCGATGAAGGCCTCAAGAAGCACTTACAATGGCTGTGTTCAACGTGTTTAGAAGAAATGTTTAACAATTCAGAGTACAAGATACTCTACTATGGGAGAGCAATATGCTGCCCCTATATCTATTCATGTGTTTAGAAAAAGTGGTTAACGATTTTGAGCATACAATGTACTTGGTACTCTACTGTGTACTGAGCCTCCATTGATAGCATTTCTTAATAAAACATGATATAAGAATTTAAACATCACATACTTCGATGAAGTCATCCTGAAAAGCTTCCGCGCAAGATCCGTTTATGTCTTACAGTTCGCTTACATTGAACTAAAATAGATTTATTCGTAACCCGCAAGCTATATTCTATGCAAAATCAAATCAACTTTCTACTCGAACCTTTAAACAAACGGCCTCAAAATGTGGTAACAATATTAACATACTAGGAATAATGCCGATTAAATATCTGCTACAATTTCATTCCCGAACAATACGATTAATCTACCAGGATACTCTTTCATAACCATAGCAATGAATGAATGAATGAATGAAAATCTATGCGCAATCACGTTTGGGAGTTCAAGCCTTGGAGTTGTCTAAACAATGCCTAAACACATAGCTTTATTAGAGCCTTCGATGCATCAACAAAGGCTACAAATGACCTTCGGCTACGTTGGCGTCAGCACGATGGAGTAAAAGCACGTGACGAAGTCATCATACGACGTCGTCACGACACCGCACGTCGCCAAAAGTTGTGACGACCTAGTGACGCCACGCGATGACGTCATCACGCGACATTGTCGCTTGGTCAAAGTTGTGCCGTTAGCGGAGGCAATGCAAAGCCAGGTTAAGCGCAGAAAGCTCGCTGTATTTCCGATTTTGGAGGCAATGCAAAATTACGTTTGGGTGCAGAAAGATTGCGATGCCTCCGATCATGGAGGCAATGAAAAACTACGTTATGGGCAGAAAGCTTCGACGACATGGTTGTAAAGGTTATGTTTTAAAAGCCGGGACTCTGGTCGGCAGAGAGTGTAGTGGGACTTCAATTTTGTTACGAAAGCCACGTTCATCACGCGCTCACACTTCTCATTTACCTAAGAGCCGCTTAATCTTATCGCTTTTTGCTGTTGGTGAATATCCTGCATCAATTACGGTTTCATTTTCCTAAAGGTCAGATCTTGCACATATTGTCAAATTCTAGCATATTGTCCTAACAGAAGTAGTGGCGTTTTAAGCCGGCCGGAGTGCTCGTATGAGAGCCACGGGAGCCAGTCAGACTTGACAAGACGGCGACTTTGATTCCGCCGTTAAACTTCGTAGTGCTAAAACTATATCACCCCAGAATTGGGCTGGTGACGGGGCTTCATTAGGTTAACACAGACCATGCACAAGTCACGGAAACACGAATACATTTCAAGACATTCTATGTGACCTGAAAAGGTGCTTGTAAGTCATAAATAGTTGATGATATGTAGGGTTTAACGTCCCAAAGCCTCCATATGGTTATGAGAGACGCCGTAGTGGAGGGCTCCGGAAATTCCGACCACGGTTCTTTACGTGCGCCAAAATCTGGGCACACGGGCCTACAACATTTACGGTTCCATCGGAAATGCAGCCGCCGCAGCCGGGATTCGATCCCGCGACCTGCGGGTCAGCAGCCGAGTACCTTAGCCACTAGACCACCGCGACGGGGCTTATAAATAGAAGTTGATGTTATGAAATGGCTCTATTTTTTTAGTAAGCAAAGGCTTTCGTAGTAATTGTGAGACAGTATGCAGCTCGGTCTAAAATGAAAGCCTCAATCGCTAGTATAAGGAGTTATGTATGTTACGTTACCATGTTTTATATGTTGGCTTCGAGGGCATATTTCATGCTCCAACGTATGTTGCCATTACGAAGTCTCAAAAGGGGCAACAGTTTACGGCATTAATCGCTGTTTAATGATATTTTATTTATTTACGTTACGATTAGGGATACCTTAAATAAACTTATGCACGCTGCTCCATTCGTTTCCATTGATGAACTATTGGTCCAGGGAATCAAGTTCCTCTTCACGACGACCTCGATGAAGTTGTCTTCACGGCATGGTGGAATAATCTGAAAAACAACACGTAGATTTGCATGAGCCGTTGATCAGCTGGTTGCGCGGCCATAAAAGCAGCACACGACAACTAACCTGAGCAGCGGAAATATAAAAACTTGCGTGGTCACGAGAGGTGACTCCTGTTTTTAGAGCGGCTAGAAAGTTGCCGGTGACAGACGAGCTTTTCGTGAGCGCTTTGCCTGTTTCGGAATTTTCGATTGAATGATTGCCGCGTAAGGCGTAGTTCTGTGGCACGAGAATGAGGGATATAACCTGTGCGCCCCAGTTTCGTATAGTCGCGAAGGAAATAACACCGCGGCTACAGGAAATTGAACGTTGATTAGTTCTTTTCCTGTGGGCTATATGTTCTTTATTCAAGTGAAGAAGGCAAAATCTATATTCATAAGCATGCGCAGGATTCCCAATCAAGAGAAGAGGGGGGGGGGGGGTGAGGGGGCAAAGAGGCGTATCGCAACACCCCTCTCCCCCACTGACCCATATTAAGTCGATGTATGGTGGTGACTGTGCACCCCCTTTTCACAGGTAGTGGTGGTAGTGGTTAGAAGATGAGAAAAGGCACCTCATTTCTGCAACCCGGTCGGGAGCACGGCGCAGTGCCTCACAGGTGATTGAGGGAAAGGCCACCCCTATTCCAGTACCCTTTTTGTGCGCATGTCTGTGACAATAGCGGAGGCAAACAAAAAAAAGAGAGAGAGAGAGAGAAAGAGAAACCGATGTTTGCTCTGGAGGGCGCATTTCGTGTCCAGCTTAGAAGCAAGCAACAAATCAGTTACAAATGCAATTGATGATTCCGTGGCGATACGCTCTTTCATGCCTACAAATGGTTGGTGTTGATATCACGCGGGAGGCCGGTATTTTCTTGAGCACAGCTGTTTTTTTTTTTTTAAATTGAACTCGTAACGCCGCGCTGAATTCCGCTAGCCACTAGAGTCAAATATTTTTTCGGTCGAAATCGGCGCTTGAGTCACAATGCAAACACACTGTTCATTGTTTGACTACAGGTTGAAAAAAATTTTAGGCGGCATTTACGTATACTGATGATGTGGTGACCCTTGTCGAGGTCTGAAACAAAGGCTAGTCTCACTGTCTTCTGGACTCCTCGGTGTGGAACTCAGTAGTCAGCCTTGTTTACACTTTCATTGAGGTTTTCCTCAGCGAAATTATCTTGGCTATTACGCAATTTGGTGCTTACTAATTCCGACACAAGTGCTCTCAAAGCAAGTGGTTCATCTCGCAGAAGTAACGTCATTGGAGATATTAACGCATGATTGCAACATTACAAAACAGCTGTCTTGACTTCTTACAACATTTCCCATATTCTTTTTGATACCTCTCTCTTGTATGATTGCTTCATTGATTCACACCCCCTTTCCCCTTCTTAAGTACAGGGTATCCAACCGGAGGCTTCCTCTGATTCACTTCCCTGTCTTTATTTTATCTTTCTCTCTCGCTCTCTACCTTTGTTGTACAGACAGCAACGTTCGTATGAGGTGGTTTACTTCATTTCTTTTTTTCTGTAAGCGTATCAACAAAGCATGGACGGTCCCGTATTTAGCACGACAACGAAAATCGTAGCATCAGTGCAGCGGTACACTTGAATGTCGCCCCATCGGAAAGTCGGCTGACACCCGCAGCCTCAATGCAACATAAGACAGCATGAACACATGCTGGCTGTAATTTTCTTTGCAACACCAATTGTGAGATTTCAGCAACATAGTCCAATGCATGACATTTCTAGACGTACAAACCAGTGATTTATCTTTGTTCTAACAAAACTACACCATCGTATAAACGAATAGAAACAGGTGATGCATGCCTTTCAGGCTTATTTTAGCGTTTTCATCTACCACATGAAAGCGTGCAGGACTGATGAAGTAAAAATGTGATGAAATATAAGAAAACCGCAGTGGCGGGGAAATGACACTGATTGCGTTCACTTTTTTTCCCCGCTTGTCTTCCTGATTTTTTACGGAACTTGTTGCGTATCGCATGCTTAGTATTATTTGCATGGATCTCAGCTGTAGTCAGCTGTGTCTTCCTTTGGCGACAATTTTGACAAAGTAAAGAGCAGTATGAAACCATTTTCTTATGTCACTTCTTTCTTCGCCATATCATTTTAGAGAAGTTAGACACTAACAGCTCGCATACAAAAATACGAAATGCTCCTATAGTAATTAATTATTGCGTGAACACTCTGTATCAAAAGGTGAAATAAAAAAAACAAGTTTTGTTGCGCTAGTGAGCACGAGGTCGTTGTTTCGATTTCAGATAACGGCGGCCGCATATCGGTGTGGATGGAAAAAAACACTCGTGTATCGCTTTCGTGTTTAGAACCCGTAGTGGGTCTATATAATCCATAGTCTCAAGTACTTTCTCGGCATTCGTAGCATGACACGTCTGTAAACGTTAGGCCTCTCAATTAGGTCTATCAATTTAAACACTTATTCATTGGAAAACATAGTAACTGGTTACACGCTCCATTGATACACAGCTCTTAATCTAACGATTGCACTTAAGAGAGAGGCTATGGAGGTACGGAAAAGAAATACAAAGATCACCTCGAAAACCGAGGAGCAAAGCTACAGTTGATTTAGGAGTGTTAGTAAAAAAAAAAAAAACTGAAGCAGTTGCCCCAGGCGCGCCGAGCACAGTAAAAATAGCATGACCATTTCTTCTCGACACCCAAGAAATCCTGTCATTGTGACGTCAGTTGAGAACAGTGGTCTGAGCTTAACTACCGGCGTCACGGCACTAACAGACTATAGGAAACGATAGTTCAAGCTACACAACAATTCTATAAACTTCACGAACACACATCGACATAAACGCAGATATACACGTTGCGGAAAGGCGGGCCGCACTACATCGAAATTCATTATGAATGAAATCGTGCATGTGCGAAACAATAACGGGCGGAAGGGTTCAAAAATACCACTCTTTCGCTGCACCCATGGCATTGATTGATTGATATGTGGGATTTAACGTCCCAAAACCACCATATGATTATGAGATTGATGATTGATATGTGGGGTTTAACGTCCCAAAACCACTATATGATTTTGAGAGATGCCGTAGTGGAGGGCTCCGGAAATTTAGACCACCTGGGGTTCTTTAACGTGCACCCAAATCTGAGCACATGGGTCTACAGAAAATGCAGCCGCCGCAGCCGGGAATCGATCCCACGACCTGCGGGTTAGCAGCCGAGTAGCTTAGCCACTAGACCACCGTGGTTGGGCCTGCACTCATAGCACGTAACACACACACAAAAAAAATGAAAACACCAAGCTTGCACCGAATATTTTTTGAAACATGCAGTCAGGGCTACTTTCTGATTTTGTGCTCTGACCATTTGCTCCCTAGCTTTATCGTTCATGAGAATAGCAGGGCAGACCCGAACGATTAGCACTAACTTCAACTTTTAAGGGTTTCAAATATCTTACATGGTCTGATCCCGAAGCGTACGTATGTTGTAACATGCGTAGTTGTATCAGACTAGCAAAGTTTTGTCGTCGAAGCTTAAAAAAAAGTATGCTTGAAGCGAGACACCATGCAGAATGGCAAGGCTACGAAGTGAACATTTTTGAACTAACCTGAGGTGTTGAATGATTATGCAGACTTACAACCGTATTCACAAACGCTCCTCGACTCGACTTTCACCCTTCACTTGACAGAACTGAGCACTGCGCCATTACTCGGCTAAAAATGACGCTGCGCTGCTGAAGAATCGCAGCAGACTATCGCTGATATGCAGTGACTTGGCGTACCTAGAGGTGGCACTCCCATCGGCTTTCTCAAGTGAAGGCGAAGCGTTGAGTGAAGGGAGGTTTTAGAATACGGGGGTTACGAATGCATTGAGGGATGTCGTAGCGGAAGTTATTTCGTTAGTTCTGATCAGTAGCACTGACAGTTGAAGGAGTTGGTGTGGATCCATGGTTAAGAACGGCGCAACGCGTCTCGTATTCTTGCGCCGTTCTTAACCATGGTTTCTGATGATTTCGATTACTTAACGCTCGCCAAAATGTCGGAGCCGTAACGCTCGTTATCACAATCGTGTCGACGGAATGTGACTCGCTCGACAGCGAGCCGAAGCCGCGACATTTGCGTTTAGTAGCGGGATAAGTATGGCTGCCGCGCCACGTCGCCGTTATGAAGATTGCGTGCAAAAAAAAAAAGCCTACTGGCTGAAGAGGGATCTGACTTACCGTTGAGCAGAGTACATGTAGATCTGTCAAGTTTGCAAGAGATTGGCTTTCGTCATCCACCACGAATCAGTGGGCTTCCGGTCGTGTCCAAAATTTCCGACAGTCGTTGCGGCGCCGCAACTCTGAAAACAAAAAATATGGGGAACCCTACAGTTTCGCATTTAGTAGTTGAACGCAATAGTGCTATCCTGTTCCTGATTGATTTATTTATTGATTGATTGATATGTGGAGTTTAACGTCCCAAAACCACCATATGATTATGAGAGACGCCGTAGTGGAGGCCTCCGGAAATTTCGACCACCTGGGGTTCTTTAACGTGCACCCAAATTTGAACACACAGGCCTACAACATTTCCGCCTCCATAGGAAATGCAGCCGCCACAGCCGGGATTCGATCCCGCGACCTGCGGGTCAGCAGCCGAGCACCTTATCCACTGGACCACCGCGGCGGGGCTATCCTTTTCCTAGTGCGTACTTCAAACACTCACCCCCGTATTCACAAACGCTCCTCGACTCGACTTTCACCCTTCACTTGACAGAGTTGAGCACTGCGCCACCGCTCGGCTGAAAATAGCGCTACCCCACTCAAGAATCGCAGCAGATTATTGCTAATGTGCAGTGACTTGTCGTGACTAGAGACGGCGCTCCCATCGGCTTTCTCAAGTGAAGGTGGAGCATTGAGTGAAGGGACGTTCTAGAATACGGGGGTAAGTGCATGAAACCTTTTCGAACTTGCTAGGCACCCACTACGTGGCCTTTGGAAAAATGACGCAGTAGCGTGTACGCCTTTTGTAGTTGGTGACCGTCTTTGAACCACGAAGTCACATGGTAATCACATGTTCTGGCGCCCGCTGGCAATGCGCGCTTGTACCACGCATTAATTCTGCAATATTTCATGTCGCATTGTGAAGCATGTATACAGGACGCGTGTGTTTGTAAAGCATATATAAAAGCTACTTTCACTGCATTTTCAAGTAGAGGAAGTTTTTTTCCCTGAATTTACAAGCAGACGCCTGGACGTGTGATAAAACGTCCACTTGCCACGCAAAACGACTCTGGTTCGGTCTTCACTCTGACCGAGGATATTTTAATCGTTTATTTTATTTGCATCATTCTCGGTTTCTCAGTCACGCATAAGACGTTAATTTTTCGCTCACAGCGAACGGTGCCGGAATTTCTGCCAAACGATATCTTTAACGCTGTCACGTTAAAAAAAAAAAACAGATGGTGATCGTGATACGTTATTGGAGGACATTTTTTTTCTTGCGCAGCACGTTGGAAAAAAACATGGAAACGCGTACAGATTGGTGTTCTTTTTACACGGAACACTTCTTGGTCGTAGTCATGAACGTTTATCGCGTCCCGTAAATTCTACCCGCATACTTAAAGCAATATCATCAATAAAATGAGTCAGCAATAGATTTTGCATGGTCGCCGATTGAATTCGTCACCGCGAGAATCACTGGAAATTTTCATCTTGACACCGATAGCTGAATCATGATCAACATCATCTCCATTTTGAAAAATCCGCAAATATGGTTCCACCCATCTTTCTTGTTATCTGTAGTTCATACCGCTTCACAGCAACACGGTAGTGTATCTCTCCCCTGCATTTATGCCGACCTTCCGTCACTTCCAAGGCGCAGGGTGGCAAACCACGTTTTGCTGTTGCGCGATGCTCAAGGAGACCACGTTGCTAGCGAATAGGCACAGATCGCGATACGTATAATCGTCAACTCTGCTATGAATATCAGCACGTGCCTATACGGCCCACCAATGACCCACAACCGGCGGGTTCTTTCCGTTCTTTTGCTCGTTTAGGGACCATCACTGTCGCCCACATCGCGTTTTCCATGTGCCACCGAAGACAATGCCATCTGTGCGACGCGGCCACTGGGACGCGAGGAAACCACCGCGGCAATCGCTTATACATCGCTTTCCTCGGCGTTTCTGGCGATCACACGCATCGCTTAACCCCAAGAAAGCCCCAAAACTGCGGCCCTTTCTTTTTTTCCTCGTGCCAGATATCTGTGGCTATGTCACCAAACGAGCACTTGGCGACAGAGCAGAGACACATCTTGCCAGCATCGGCTAATGGAGATGCCATCTGGGTTCGCCGTGGGAAGGGAAACAAGTGAAAAAAAAGGGAGGGGGGGGGGGGGCGTTTCAAGACATTTTATGTCCTCTATAGCGTTCCCACGCGTTGCTGCGACGTTCTTTTGTCAGTCACGGGGTCGGAGTGCCTCCAAGAGTTGTATAGCCTGCCGCCAATTAAAGCGCCATCCCGCGAAAAAACGAAGAAGGCGGCGTGGAGAGGCCAAGTAGCATGCACCAACGTACTACAATGGAAGAAAGATAAGGGACGTACTACGCCTTGCCAGCGTGCGTCTTCTGGTGCGTCTCGGACGCGCTGGAGCGAGCGTGGATGGATCTGATGGATGCGCTGTCGCACGCCCACTATCCACAGACGCGACAAACCCCGTTCTTCAGCGCGTTCTGTTCCGTATGCCGCATGTGATGAAAGCATTTTCTTTTTCGCGAAGCGGCTCCATGCGTAAATAGTGTTCCTGCGCGAAGTCTTGTCGTTCTTGACTAATTCGAATCGACACGAACTCGGATCGTCTCGAGACGAATTCGAAACTTTGGGACATGCTTGAAAGATTTAGCACTGAGCTCTAGAAATAATACGAGCCAGGCGGGTGCCGACGACGTATTGAATACTTAAGAGTTCGTGAAAATATGGCGCGTAATTTCGGACACGAACGACAAGCATGATTTTCTCCTACTTGGAAAATCTTCGGCACACACAACTTTTCCAGCGTGAGTTCGAGAGCTTTATGACCACACAGCTTGAAACATGAAAGTGGGATTAGGCATTTACTTGCAGCTAATAAACGTCGTGCATTTCTCAGATATGCATTGAATGCCTTTCACGTCACGATTGATAGGCGTCCCTTGTCTCTTGAAGCTAGATTTCTGCAAACGTTCACGGCTATTGAAAAGTGAAAACTCTGGATCGACGAACGAGGTTTTTAAAGGCATCGTGTACGCGTCAGAGCGAAACTTTATCTCACAGATGATTTCATGATTTTTCGCATCGAGCGTCGACTTGGAATAATTTCCTAATGTTTTCTCTCACACGTCAACCAAACTCAAGAGAGAGAGTAAAATGAGAGAAAGGCAGGGAGATAAACCAGAAATCGGGGCATCCGTTTTGCTACCCTGCACTAAGGAAAAGGGGAATGTGGAAGAAATATGAGAAAGAAAGCGAAGAGCAAAAACACACTGATGTGAGTAGAAACCTAGTTTTCGTGCGACGTAACCTGTCAAGTACACTACGAAATACTTCTCTGTGTACTGAATATTAGATAGAGCAGGTAGACGCAGCTTCTGCGACGTCAGTGGCCAAATTACGCCTTATTTCGCCTGAGATATATGGCTGGAGAGCACTCCGCAGAAATTCTGTAGCCAGACAAGCGTGCTCTTAGAGAGATCGCTGAGCGATTTTCTACAATATTGGAACGTCCGCGTTCGTTCTTCACTTAAAGCAGTCCATTTACCGGTGGGGCGATTTAGATGAAATCGTTCTCACGTTTTCAAATGGCGTTTCTATTCTGTGATAGATATAAAGCATCTCGCGGCATTTTCAGCAGCACTGACACAGAGTTTGCACTAACGTAGCAGCAGCATTCTGGATGACTGACATATTGCCGCACTCCTTTGTCAAGTTTTGTTATTTCCCCGTTGCACGTGTGAGTGCTACCTTGCTCAAACCGCGCTGATGGACTAAGAACCACCGTGATAACCGTATAACCTTCTGATGCGATTACGCGCACAACGCGAACATTAGATATTGTTCTGGAACATACGTTACCACTATAGCGATACCGCAGGAACATTCGTCGGCACATGCATAAATGCCGACGCGCATCGCCGCTTGTGCAGTTGATTGGTGGCCGATGTCGAGTTCGCCGCTATCAGTACCAGCGTGTGTCGCTGTAATCTGTCTTTACGTTCACCGGCCACAGGTTCGGACAAATAAACAGTTTCATCTTGTATCTACAGTCTGCTCCCTTCGTCGACGGCACGTGACAATATTCTCGTGGGTGCTGTCTCGTTATGGTTGGGCTTAAAGCGTTTAGACCTTTGTCGTGCAGCGAACGTAGCCAGGCTGATGACGATTAAAGCTTTTAGAACTTAAGCCAAGGAGGGAGAAATCCGCAGCGCTGCCTTAACACTTTCTACTCGATGCCGGCAGATGACTAAGGGAAGACAGACAAAAAATGGTAGCGTTCGAAAAGGGCAGATGAACACCATTCACAAACGATCTAAATGGCCTGAGAGCTAGCTTTATTTACATGACATGCACAGCACCATTCCTACTTTACTGAAGAGCTAACCCGAGCATTTAGAATTGCCGTATACTCAGTAACGGGCCGTGCTTATCGTGTAATAATTGGACGGCAGCACCTAAAAAACTAAGGGGATTACGGGCTAAAGGGACGATATGATTGTGAGGGGCGTGATAGTGAAAGACCGAGGAAATTCGGACCACCTGTAGCGTTCTGTAACGCGCACTGACGTGGCGCAGTACACGTGCGTCCTCCATTACCTAAATGCAACCGCCATTGCCAGAATCAAACCCACGACTTTCGTTTCAGTCGCTGGGCTTGACAGGAGGTAGAATTGGTTCCTCTCGCATCTCATCCGGTGTTCGCTAATTACTCATGCAAGTTTGATTTGTGCCGAGTTTTACGCGTGAATACAGGTACTACTGTTTTCTCATATCTGCGGTACGCATTAAGATAATCTATATATTTTCACGCAAAACTCACTTGAAGTGCAAATCATGCATAAGTTGCTTTATAAAAAACGTCACTCTTTTTCTTCTTTAGTGTTCGCACCACTGGTTACCATTAATATGGTACCTGTAGGTGTGAATACTGAACTAACTTTGCTAGAACTGCAGTTGGTTGTTAACGTCGTGAAGTTTACTTCGCACTTACGAATACTCTAACAGTGCCGGTATACCGAATTATGGTGAGACTGTACGCGTGGAAAACAGGACAGAGAGA